TACATAGTGGATAGGCGGGTTGGCAACGTTAGGTTGCTGACTAATTCATCAGTAGTTTCGGATAGTTTTTAATGGTTACTGATAGTTCAAACAAAACAAAAATCAGTTCTACAGTCACATGATAGTTAGTTTATTATTCTCGAATTATTAGTCATAATTTCAAGTTCTGCATAGTTTTTGTATAGGAATCTATAAACACTGAAACATAATACAACAGCCAACATATAATTTCAGAATATTTTTATAATAGCTACAAAACTGGACTGAACTTTTTATAAACAGTTGTAAAATATATAATAAATAGTATAGTATCATAACTATACAATTAATTTTTAGTCTTGTAAAATCACTGTAAAGTGATAAATATATTAAATCCTTGGTTTCAACTCTTACATACAACTTGGAAGCTGTTAAACAGATAATCCATTACTATTCACTTTTATCTCAGTGAATATACAGTGACGACTAATCATCTAGCTCTCATCTACTTTCACACAATTTTTTCCCTTCTTCCACTTTTTTCACTCCTCCACACATCCCCTTACCACCCACCATACACTAAGATACACCCAAATCTTATGCTCATTTCCCATTTTCTATACAAATAAGTGAAGAGAAGCATCCAACTAAAGAGCCTCAAGCGTGAGGTAAAAAAAAGCCTCGAAAATGGCATCTCAGTCTAGTTCTGAAGACAGTGGTGAGGTGGAAATCGACTACAACACATTACTCGGTGAAAAAAAGCAACACCCAAAATAAAGTCATTTTCAGAACACCCTACTAATGTGGTTATAGGAGAGGATGTGAAAAGCGACGCAGGGTCAAGTACACTGGCGAAGGAGAGGAAAGGGAAAACACCTACACAAGGGGAGTTGATGAAAGCATGTCACTTAGCGACCAAAGGCGAGTGGAGAGAATGGCTGCAGTCAGACCTTCTCTGCCCATACTGGGTAGAGTTGTGGAACTCGTACTTGAAGAAAGCAGCACTGGCAAAATCTGAGCGAGGTGTAGGGTTGAATATAGTTCAGGAGAGAATGGTGAGTGGTGAGAGCCTAGGAAATACGAAATACTCCGGGAGGAATCCGAATAAAGAATTGTGGGACGAGGCAGACCACCTCGCGTGTTTTGTATGGCATGTGAAACACGAAAACACCCGGTCAAATAACGGGGTCTTCTACAATCGGAATTTATCAGACACAGCAATTGAGAAGATAATATGGGGTCTCAAGGATTGGATACGCCAAAAACACACCCCAAGTTACATTGACACTGCGATGGGTGGAACAGCCCTGTTTGGAACCACTAGGGAAGGTAAGTGATCTAAGGAGCCTATAAAAAAGACTTTTTTAGCTGACTTATATAGAAGGTGAAAAGTCTGTTGAGACAAGAGGGACCAAACGAAAGCGTGAGGCTAAAGAGAATTCAAGCAAAAAGCAAGTGGTGCAGACAAGTGGTAAGGGATTGAACACAAGTGACAAGGACACGGATATGGACAAGGAAGATTCAAGAGACGAAGATTTGAGCGATAAAGATCTCGAATCTATGATTGACGAAGAAGAGTCCGACAAGGATACGGAAGAAATCATTGCGGACGGAGTCCACCAAAATTGGGACGAAGAAATTCTGAAGCCAAAACGGAGGCTGTACGTCTCTCGAGTGTCAGACACATTTGACATAAAAGATCCCTACTGGCAGTACCTGCTAGTAGTGCAGGCCCTTGACCGAACCAAACGGATACCAGAAGACAATGCCGTCATCGATATTGATGAGCATGAACAGGCGGAGGCCATCATAAATAACGACGATGTTATATCGGAACCTGTTCAATCTGATCGACGCTCTACAAAGAAGAAGAAATACACGGCCGGAGACGAGTTGAAGACCGATGTATTTGAGAGCGTAAAGTACCAGGATGCGGAGGAATACGATCCGAATCGTATTGCTGAGGCGATGTCTTCGGATATTATGCAGCCTACCCAGACTGGCCTAACCGTCTTTGAAGCGCAGCGTGATTGGTTTAATAACCGAGATTTTCAGAGAGAAGACCATGATATGGCATGCTCAATGCTCGGCATTGAGAACAAAAAAGTTTGTAGAATCCGAGGGATGAGACGCTCTGCTTGCCTAAAGTTCTGGCAGCCGGTCATCGTGTGGGCGCTGTTTGAAATGAGGTTCAAAGCCTACCTAAAAGGCTGTATATTGGCAGATTCTGTTGGGTTGGGGAAGACATGGGAAGCTCTTGCCTTCATACTCAAGGTAAGCTCTAGGGAGATATAAAAAAAAGCCTATTTCAGACTAACCTATATAGATCGTGACAGACTTCAATGAGGAGTGTGAGAGGGCGAGGCGGAAAAAGGCACCCTATCCAGATGCCAAACCGAATATCATCGTACTCCCACCTGGGCTCATACAGCAGTGGGCGCGGGAAATAACAAGTATGACCTCGGTATTTGACCTCTATATCTACTACGGGGATTATAAGATTCAGTCAAATGTGAGCTCAAAGATCATCGAGGAAAGACTTACGCGAGACCATGAGTTGTTTAACAAGAAGCCGGAGACTGCCAGAGCCCTGATCTTGACTTCGTACCAGACATTAAACTCACGTCACGGGCCTGGTGCGGTAAAAACAGAAAGTGAAAAAAGGGGACGTCAATTTAACCCAACATCGCCTATGATGCCGAATAACTGGAAGTATTCCTTGGCAGGCAAGTTTAATATCGGACTCTTTGATGAGGCGCAAGAATTGCGTAACCCAACGTCATTCCAGAACCTGGCATGCCAGTGGCTCGCATGTTCGTGGAATGTACTACTTACCGGAACCCCTTGGTATAACAGCGTACACGACTTTAGAGGCTACATGTCTCTGGTATTTAAGGAGCCAAGTGCCTGGGATGAGACATTACTTCATCGTCGTAACATGAAGGTTAAAGACATATTCGCGATCGAAAAAGGGCATCAGTTGGAATACATGCTGTGCACCAATGAAGCCATGGAAACCTATATTTTTTCTTACCCCCCCACGGCTCGCATAGTCGGCGAACGAATGCGTAGAGTCCTCGCACTCCTCATGGTCCGAAGGACAATCATGTCCACAATACCGTTTCAATGTGGAAAAATGATCGGGTCGGACATACCTGGCTCCCAGAAAAAGATTTTGACCGTGAAATATGATGAATACGAGCTTTCGACATACAAGAGTGCTGAAAAAGAGTCCCGAAGGGGACTTTTTGTCCGCGATCACCAAGACAGAAAGAGGTTCTTCTGGAATAGCAAGAAACTGCGGAAGCTCGTATTAATCGCTTCCTGGCTCGGATTCATTTTCCTGTCAAGCTCATTAGAAGTTTCAAAAATACCCGCAGCACTTCGACTCTTGGAACGAGGAATCTTGGTAGACACCTGGATCACCCAGGTCGAGAAAAAGATTGTCGTGGGTGAGGACATGACCGTAAAGGACTTCTATCGGACCGCGAAAGCTAAAAAACACGATACGAATACCGCCCGTCTCGAGTTTCTGTTACGCGGCTCTCCCAAAATGAGAGCCATGCTACCAATCATCCGCGACCAAGTCCTGCTGTATAAGGAAAAGGCGATTATTTGGACGCTCTATCCTGCTGAGCAGGTCTATGTGGCCGCTGTTCTCAACGAGGTAGGGTTGGATTACGGCGTCTATCACAGCGGCCTGAACGTAAGTGAACGCAGCCGACTGGTCGAAAAATTTAACCACAGTGCATCGGAGTGTATGGTCCTGATCAACTCGTTTTCGGTGAACAGTGCTGGCCTTAATCTGCAAAATAAATGTAGAAATGTTCACCTGTTCTCCCCTACAATTTCCAAATCCATCCGCAACCAAGCCATTGGGCGATCCTGCCGGCTAGGACAGAGCCGCATTGTCCTAGTATACGAATATATCGTCGAGGACAGCTTCAACACTTATCTGCAGGACAGAAGCGATAGTAAAGCGTTTACGGGCCTTATAATCGAGATGACCTCACTCATAAGAAGTGATGCAGATGAAATCGAAGATAACGGTCTGTGCAAGACTGACTTGACCCGCTGGGTCATCCGCGGTACAGAGCTTGTATACTTGGAGAGCGGCGAGGAAGCGGAAGACAGCGACGTCCAAGACCCTGAGCTAGTGTTTCGGAGGGTGTTAAAGGCGATCGAGGGTGAGCAGGAAACTGAAGCCGTTGGGTAGAATAGCCCAAAAAAGGCTTTTCCATAAGGCCCCTTGGTCGACTGAAAGCACTGCTTATTACTGATAAAATAATTAGCAGGCAATGCAAGAAATATTGAAATTCTATGTAGTTAATTTCAGAGAAATGAACTTACTTTGTTATTGTTGCTTGAAGCGAACTGAAAATAGGATATAAACTTGAAGTTCAAATCCTAATAGAAAATTATTATCGTACACATATAGGCACCGTGTCGCGCGTTTTCTTTGTTTGCTGTTCTCTTGTATTTTTTTCAACAAAGTTAACACAATGTCAACACCAAGTCCTGATGAAAATAACAATTCCACCCCACAGATTATTCCTCTTGCCCACCAGACAACTTCTTTAAGAAACTATAATAGTCTGCCTTTCTAATATCTATCATTATGTCAACCCCACAGTCAAATATTAGCACGCGGGCTAGTACCCAGAATCGGCGGCAGAATAAACCACCACACACACAAGAGGATAATGGAGGTCAATGATGAGTTAATCACCATCTTATATACTTTGGCATCTAATATAGAGCTAGAACTACCCAATTCTCAAACTTCATCTCTGCCCGACGATGGGGCAATCGACAATAGATCAGTGGACTCAGATTATCGCCCTGCAAGATCTGTAAATATAGTCTGTCTATCCTGAACCAGGGCTTATATATTCTAATATAAATCAGGTTAAACGGAAATCCGCAGACACTATACCTCGGGCCAAAAAGAAATCAGCACAAATCGTGTATCCAGCTTCTCAACCTGTCCGATCAAATATACTGTATAATAGCGTCAATACACGCACACCATCTAAGATACAACCATCATCCCAAGGCAACAGCAACACACCCAACCCACCACGAGTCGTTACTCCACTACCTGCACAAACTATGAACCCACCACAACGGACCATCCCTCTGTTACCTCCACAAACTACAAACCCCCAACGAGTAAGCGACAACACAGCTAGTCGACGGCTCCGGGCGGGTAATAATATACAAGGCCCGCCTAATGTACAAGAACCAATACGTCCGGCTGGTCAACTTTCTCAGTCGTCTTCCTCTTTAGTCCTATCTTCCTCTCCTCCGTCGCAAGCGCATCAGTTGTTCACTTACGACAGCCCACAGCCCATGAACAGCCCACAGCCTACAGACAGCCCACAGCCCACAGACAGCCCACAGCCTGCGGATGATAGCCAGGCTTGTATAAACGAGGCGGATGCCTTACAAAAGCTTTTACGTCATTCACGACAACAATTTATATGTGGATTATCAAATACACGTGTTCACGAGCCTATCCAAGCCACATTTCCAGGAGTATCATTAAATGATCCACGGTATAAATACTATCAACGATCTGTATCATCATATTATAAGACATGGAAGCATAAATCACTCCAGTATGCAGGTATATTTATGAAGCGATGGCTAAAACTTCCTGGGAATGAGAGCTATGTGAATTGTCTTCAAGCAAAGCCTTTAATGACAGGTCTTAAGGAGCAATATAACCCTTCTTGGGCAACAGAGGTATTCTATTGGTTTACAGATTCCATGTCATATGATGACTGTACTCCACTGGGTAAAGACTTTTTAAGATGTAAGTCAAGATTTGTTTCACTATTTAATGTAAGTCGAAGTGCTGATTTACATGATAGACTGTACAATCCAACTACTTTGTCGGACACGATTGGGCCATCTCTACGATAAGTCCAAGGGAAAAGAACCACAGGTGGCCAAATATAATCGAGGATATATACTATCTTCGTTTGACGGTCTACATACAAAGCAGATTTATAAGAATCTCTCAATCAAGGACTTCCCCCTTAATAAGAGTAAAGAGCCCAGGACACGGCCTCGCCGTTATGTTGTCAATATGAATGAGGATAGTGATGGTGATATATCAGATAATGACGGCGGTCTGGCTGAAGGTGTCGATGAGAGCCCTGCTGTTGAAGGGCATACGGATGAGGATCCTCACGATAAAGCGGAGGCGGATGAGGAACCTGCTGTTGAAGAGGAGGCGGATGAGGATCCTTGTGATGAAGCGGATGCTGATGAGGAGATAAACGATGAGGAGGTTTCAGTTGAATTTGAGTACGTGTAGACTATATATACTTGATTGTTACATGACCACAACGCACATAACCTTCACGATCAGAAGGATCCCATACGACCAGTGGCACTCTCGCTCGTTTTCCCAGCCTCTCTAATATCGCAAAATATTGTATTATACCATCATCTGACTGAAGGGTTCTCCCGTGGTTATCCACAGTTAACCACATTGTAATTGTCATATTGAGTTGATGAAGTAGACTCTTCGCAGTCCAGTCCCGAATATCTCTTTGTGTTTGCCAGTAGTCCAGAATATCAACAGGACCTAGTGGTATCCGTACTGGAAATGTTTCGAAATCTGAGAATTCAATATAATATGGAAAGAGATCGTGTCTGTATATAAACGGCGACAGAATAGGCTTTTGAATGAATTTATATTAACTAATGTCTCACTTAACGGGGCGTTAGGGGCCTAACCAGTATTGACAGGTCTGTAGGATCATCACTTGAGGATTCAGAGCAGGTAGAAATATCGGCCTCAGAAACAACACTCATGTTGTATAGTATACCATCTAGAGACAAATATTTTGGAAATAACTTGTAGTATAGGCAGATAAGATATATATAGTTCTACTCATACTAAAATCAGCTGTATCATAATATACAATCCAGTTACTGTATACCCTTGTATCTATTCAATAACAAGATTAGGATAATAATATGTTAACTTTTAAATGAATACATTATTAAAACATAATATTACAATAGTTATTAGAGCAAAACACGTACATAAACAAAATCATACTGGACGCGTTTGGTTGTGTTTATAATTTTCTTAGAATATGAACAAAGAAGGGTTCAACCCTTCAACTGTACAGAATTTCTCTAGTTTACTTGCAGATTCTCTACACAAATCTCTTTAGGATATTAGCCTCAAAATGCCACGATATCGTCCATTTTCATTTTCCGAGATTCGCTGGAAGCCATATATGCCCCAGTCTCAAAGGGACAGATCTATAAATCCAATATCTTCATGTGTTGATACAACACTTCAAGACACATCTGATTACTTACCACTACCAGAGGCTGAGGATAGAGGTCAGTTGAAAAAGCCTTTTTCGGATCGCCCTTATTGATTTTAATTTTCATAGAATATAATTCACAAGAACTGCCTGAACCGCTTCTTCAAAATACGACCTACACAGCACAGAACGACGACTATTACAATCCAGAGCCACCGGATCAAAGTATGGTAGAAATACACTTAGCTCCAATCTATACTGATATATTTAGATATCACGTCGGATCCTTTTGAGATTGCACTATCGTTGTGGACTATTAGCTCTCAAATATCGCGAGAAGACTATCATAAACTTCGGGAAGTTTTGCTAATGATTGATTGTGAACAGACACGTGGACTTCCATCGACCTTAGATACATTGAAACATCGTGTGGAGAACCAACTATCCTTTCTACCTTTGAAAAGTCGAGAGATCCCAATTACCCTAAGTCGACAGCCGTCAAATGTAAAAGAGGACCATCCATATACAGCACAATACTGGTTTGATCCGATCCCACTGTTCCATAGAATCTTATGCTCCCACCTAGGCAGTGAAAAGTTATACTTTGGCATGGCAGAGTATGCTGACAAACAGACTGAACTTTGGCATTCTCGAGCCTGGGGCTCATCAATCGCTACTGTTTCCGGTGAGTTTGCTTATACTGCTACAGGTGATGCTATATTTCCGAGTGATTTTCTTGAGATTCTACCAATTTTTATTCCTACAGCAAAGCTCGACGCTATATATGTTCGCGTTATTTTTATTGGGCATGACAGACGCGAGGCAAGTCCAACGAAAGGCGAGACTATTCTGACTGTTCAACCTGTTTTCTCCCAATCTCAGCTAAGTAGTATATCTCTGGATCCACCACAGAAATCATCATTGTATATTTTACTTGAGGATGTTCAGCTGGAGATTCTTCCGTCTACCGTCCAAGGCCGTGTGGATCTCAAGTTAGATCGTGGTGTGTGCTCTTCATCTTCCTCTGTGTTGATTAATACTGTCTTAGATATCTCTCAAAAGCAGTACCGATCATCACTCCTGATGCATACCCTTCGAGCAGAGCTTGAGCTTGCATATTTTGATCGCGATCATTTTTTGTCTCAATCTTCTCAGAAACAAAATGTGCGATCGGTGCCATTCCTACACTTTATTGATGACTTCGGTATCCACCGCAATATGTACCGTGCCTTAAAGGGTTTCTATATTATCCCTGCTGGCCTATGTTATAAGGAGCGAAGATTACTGGCCAATATCTTTACTCTTACCCTTGGTCCACATGGGGCATCTATGGATGATATTATTATGTCGTTTCGCTCCGAGTTTGATAAATTATCAAAAGGTACGTGGATGTCTATTAATGGCACTAAGACTCTTGTTACCGCATTTCCCCTTGCTTTTACTGGTGATATGCCTCAACAAGCAAAGAACAGCGGTGCTCTCGCACATAATGCAATTATAGGATGTCGTTCTTGTTTTTCCAGAAAAGATCAACGTGCTGATCTGAAATTTGATATTATTAATGATGGCCGGTATCATTACCAAACATGCACACTCCGGTCCCGGGGAAATAGAATTTTGGGAAAGACTGAGAGGGAAAGGTTTTTTACACAGCATGGTCTTAAGGATAAGCCATCAGCCCTGGAAGAACTAAGTCCCACACTGGACCTAGTTCTCACCCGACCATATGATGTCCCACACTCGGAATGGAAAGGGCTGGGTGTAATAATGCAAGAAATACTATCCAAGGCACTTTGCAAAAAGGGCCGGGATATGTATTTTAAGGTATTCAGGACTTTTAAATCCCCAGCAAACTATCCTTCGATTCAGACTCCAGAGTTCCATCTCAAATCATGGCGACTGAGTGAGGCTGGTTGTGCAATTATCTTGACCCCACTTATCCTTCGTTGCAATGCTGATGCTTCTTGGTTTAATGAATCCTTTCTTTCAAAAGCAGCGATTGCACTTCGGTCTCTACATCCGTCAGCTTTTCAGCTTGAATCTTATCAACTTGTGATACATGCATATGCAGTCTTTGCATATTCAACTACATTGGTTTCAACCAGTTCAAGTACAAGTCTCCCGGAACTGCGGAACGCTGTTCTACATGGTCGTCAGGCATTTCAAAGATTACTGTTATGTATTTCATCAATAACTGTAGCAAAGCTCCGCCAATATCTATTAACAAGTTAAGTTTACAATTGTTTTCTACTGTGGTCTATTATATACTAATAGGTCTTAGAGCAAATACCAACTCAATATTCCAGTGATGAGTGGATTCAGAAACTTAGCCTACCTAATGTACATGCAGGTCTACATCTGCCAGATGTTGCTGCTGAATATGGAACAATTATGAATTGTAATGTTCTTGGAGGAGAGCTGAAGCATAAGTATTTTGAAATATTCCAAGTTTATATAAATACACTAACATAGTAATAGATTATTTAAAAAGTGGGCAGACAATGCATCACCGTCATATTTGATGGCTTATCTCTTTCGTATGGATTGTGCACGCCAATCTCTTCGTTTGGGGTTTGGTGGTGTATGGAACAATCAGCTTATTTATGAGTTAAATAAAAAGGTTCCAAAGCTTATAAACAGCTTTATAACCTCTGCTGAATCCAGTCCCCTAGAGGAATGTTCATCAAAAATAAGTTTCTATAAACCTATAGACAGATGTGACATAACTCTAAGAGACTTCCTTTCCACCAATGGAGTATATACAAGGATGACGGATGATAGCAATGCCTTTATATGGAAGCTGTGTGAGGCCTATTATACTGATTATGGGATTGAAACTTCTTATCAGTATGACTTAACAAGATTATCCTTCTTTAAAGGTGTACGAGTACAGAAGCGCCATTCTTCGTATACTATTAAAAGGGGTGATTTTATTAAGTATACTACTGGTATAGGATATGTTATTTCATGTTTTAAACATTGTTTACTGGATAAACAATACTTCTTTCTTTTGATATATTGCTTTATCCGCGAGGATCTGTCTACTGATCAAATTCTGGGTCTTCCGGTATACTGTCTCTCTGGGAACTGGAAGATTATTAGTCTTCTGGAGGCCTCATCCTCCCAATTTATGATTGACATTGATTCCACTACAGGATCACCTAGTGACGTATCAACATCACTAATCCACTGCACCTGGGATATTGATTTTATGTGAGATTTCTACAAGCAAAACCATCAGCAGCCAGCTTTTCCCCTGCCACCAATATAGACTGATCCAATTATAAACCAGCGGCAAGCAAAACAGTAAGTTCCATAACTAGTTACTTCTTAGTGTTGCAGCCTCCCTCTGCTAAGACGGTTCAGATAAAAGACTTACCATGGAGAATAGGACCACGGAAGTAACCAATGAACTGAACGAAGAAGTTGGTCTTCTCAGTAGCCAGTTCGTTCCAGCCAGTGCGCTTGCGACGAGCCTCAATATCAGCGCCGCGGACACCAGCATGCAAGTCGGTCTCGAGCTACTCATCGGGGCAGACGAAGCCTTCCTCAATGCCATCGCCTCCCTTCTTCCAGAGTTGCCAGCTCCTCTTGGGCTTCTTGGTGCTCATAGCACTAGCAGACGAGGTCGAGCCACGGCGCTTGTCGCGAGCGGTCGAGATATAACGGTTGAGAGCGGCATACTCATCGAGGCTAGCACCATGGTCGCTATTCTCTATGTCGGGAGCATAGGTGATTCTCCGCTCCGCCATTGTTGCTTCGGCTCACAAGCCTTCGGGACCCAACGATATGAGCAGATGCAAACAAAAGATGGCAGGAATGGCAGAAGTCGGAATTCCTATAGAGAGAAGAAGGGAGAGGAGAGATGTAGAAGGGACGTACTCTTTAATATATCTGGATGGGAGGGGGTAATCTTGTTAAACCCTGTTGTGCTGGGGATAGAGCATTGCAATTATTGCTTTTCAACGAGGAATACCTAGTAGGTAAGAGTCATCAGCTCGTGCCGATTACGTCCCTGTCCTTTGTACACACCGCCCGTCGCTACTACCGATTGAATGGCTCGGTGAGGCCTCTGGACTGGCCCAGGGGGCAAGCGTGATTGATTTATACTGGACCTGAACAAACACCTCTTGTTTTTAATCTATATTCCTAATATGGCCTAATTGTCACTGTTATCAGATTGTATTTTCTGATCCGCCTGCATTGTATACAAAAACGCCTTTATATTGTCGCTTTATTTGCCTATCTATACTATAAATACTCTGTATATAAGACTGTATGAAAAAGG